ACCATGACAGTATCAAATCAACAGTTGTCCTACGGTTACCAGACCAAATACCATACCGAGCAGTCGTACCAGAACCATTTCCGAACCAGTAACCATACCGAGATAATAGTGATGAATTTGCAGTAGGCTGTGTTAAATGAATACTATCAGAAGGGTGTAAGTCGCAGCAGTCCCAGACCCGTTGCCATACCTAGAAACGCAAGCGTCATAGGCCAGAATTCAATTGTACTGCACTGTGGTACGCCGCTCCATTGTTGAACTACTGATCGTACCCAAATTAAAAGAATCGAACTGCAGTATGTTGTCCCAGTGCCATGCCAGTTATAAATCAGTGAACTGCAACAGTCCCGAACTAGATTGGAGTACCGCATCAAGAAATACCAACATCGAACCGCCCGGTAACATGCCCGTTCCGAATCAGTAACCACACCAAATAAGTAGTGTTGCGTGTCACAAAGTCAAGTCGGTGACCGCACCGTATTGGTTTGACCGCCCTAACCAGAAAATTGACCCCACTGATGCACCAATCGATATAACCAATGTTCGTGGGATCCCAGGAAGATACGGGTCCCGCTCACTCAATAATCCCCAAGTTATAACGAGGGTGACAATCAGAAAAGTCGGGTAAAATTCAGTGAGGGATTAAAAATAACAAAATTTGTTTAAATCTATGAAGGGGGATAAATTGCTAGTTTTTGGCTAAATTCCATTAGGAGCAGAATTTGGTAAAAAAATATTTATATAAGAAAATAATTATTCGTTTCATTCCTTTTTTATCACTTTTAATCTTTTTGCTCATTTTTAATTTCTTTATTAGATTGAATAAAAATAGAGGCCGCAATTCCCCATCAATTGGTCTGCTCAGAAAGTGTCATGCGAAGGGTTGCTAATATATTTTTGCTCCATGATTGCTAGATTTGGAGACAGTGTATGAACAAGCAAAATAGGTAGGGGTTAGGCGTGGGGAAGACGATTGTTCGTTTTGTTAAATTCAAGGGTTAGTTCCTGCGGTCAACGCAGGGAAGTTCAGGGTTCCTCTGACGACCTCTAATTTTCCTCGACGATTCCGACAAGAGTACCTGACAAATCCTAACTGGGCGTTTGGTTGGGGGACAAATTTTTTGTACGTCGAGTGGCCGACCGGTCTGCGGCCGCCCAACAACAACTGACCTCGCTGACTCGTTCTAGAACACATATATTTGATTGATAATTCACACGATGTACATTCATGTCGCAGTTGTCAAGCCTCTTTCATATTTTATAATTAATTTCGCAAGATTATCGATGTATTTTTTTCTGTTGAGTTTCAAATACACAATCATGCCCTCCGCCATCAATTTGTGATTGCCGCTGTAAATTGAGAATCTGTTCGATTTCAGATCAGTGGGCGGGTCGAAGGGCCGCCACCTGGCGGCATTTATAGTTGACGAGTTTTTCCAAAATATTGTATCTGTATTTTGTACTTGACTAACTCTTGCGAGTGTACGCGCTTCGAACCGTAAGGTTGCCACTATATACTTCGAAAAATGTTATCGGTAATCTGAAATAGTTTTTGTATGATAATAAGTATTATAATAATTGATTAGTATTTATAATTTATATTGAGTCTTATTGGTAAATTTATCTGAAAAGTTACATAGACTACATTCGTCGTGGTCCGGACTCGCTTGAGCAGACGCCCCTGCAACCTAAACGAATTTGACATCTTGAAACTATTCTCCTCACAAAACGAAGTGTGAACAAAATGAGGGTCTGGTGAGTTGTTGTGGTGATAATTTTTTATACTGTTTTTTACTGAAATACGTTTAATTGCTCTTTCTTTCTTATTTATTTTTTTCATTAAGCTTAACTTATCTAGAAAAATTGTTAGCTTACGAATGTACTTTTGAGGGAGTGAAAAAAAAAAAGATTATTCGTTTTGTCGGTTAATGCAACGAAAATGCTTAAAATGGAAAAATAATGACCTATTTCACTATACTTAACGTTACGGATAAATTTTTACTCTAGTATTTTTACAACGAGAACCACAAAAGTAATCACAATTAAATTTTTGGTTGTGTATGTAAACAAGGGAGAACACCTTGCCATCAACACATATTGTTACCATAACAACGTGTATTCCTAGAATATGAATTTCAAGCCTATTTTTGCAAAATCTTTCTATTTTTTAATACCAAGGACACAAATCACAATTCCGAGTATTTTGGTACAATAGGCACAAGGTTGAAGGTCATCGCGCATTCACGTAGGATCCCGCTCTTCGAGTCTTTGTATGTGCGCTCGATACAACGCCTAAAACCTTTACAGCCTTTGCACGGCCCCCCTCTCTAAACCACAAAAAATCTGAAATCAATATTTATGGTTTTTAGAAATCGTAGGCGAGCGCCTCCGGAGTTTTGCAGTGAGTTTTTTCGTCCACGAAATGGATAACAATCGAAATTTAATGTAAGGTTTGCCTATGTTACGATGCTCACGCCTTCGCTGTCTTCGCTCAGGAACCCGACTCTTCGTACAGGAGAAACCATACGGATTATTTGCAGGCAGCATATCTAAAATGTGGGGACACCTAGCAACATAATTGGTTGAACGACAAGACAACATTGCTTTGGAATTAATGAAGAATGCTTGAAATGTGTGGGCTCAGCAACAAGCAATCGAAAACCGAGTTATCGTAAGATACATCGATAATGTTTTTGTTATTCACAAGGTTCGAAGAGTTGTTAAGGTGCTTGAGGGTTTCTATCACAATGACTCTAATTCATGGGCTTATACTTTGTGCCTAGTGAGTATACTCGCTTGGTGAAAACGATAAATACGACTTACTAAAATACTTCATGAGTTCGAGCGAACCAAGATCACGACAAATATAATTTAATAGGTAAAAGTGTCAGATTGTGAATTTGAGATTCAAAGAAATGTGTGATTTTTTAGCCTATTGATATGGCTTAAGAATTTTGTTATTTTGATTTTTTGAGTTTTTGGGTCGTTGGAGATGGATATAATTAATTAAATATATATATATAATCCGGGGTGATAAAAAAACATGAAATTTATGAATAAATGTGTTGGAGCAAAACTAATTGAACCCTTAGCTAATGAGAATTGAAAATTGACGATGGCCCCGTGAGATTGAATTCATTGATTGCTTTAACTAAGGTTTGTGATACTTACCTATTGTGGTGGTTTATTAACAAGGTAGAATTGGTCGTCGTCTATGAGCATATGTTTTTGGTTTCGTATATAATTAACATCTTACTCATCCTACTTTTTATAAATTTATAAAGTTTTTTCTTTTAGAAACAAATAAGTTATTTCTTTATCCAGGAGAGTAATTTAGGGTAAGGCATACAATATTTTTATTTCATATGACAACAATTAATCATTAACTCATATATATATTTTTTTATGATTTTGATTTTAAATCAATCTCAAGTTAGAGTTTAAGCGTAAAAACATTACAAAAAAAATCATAAGTTCATCAATAACAGAAAGAAATAAAATATCAAACCAACTTATAACGGAATATAATAAATCGAACAAATGTCAAATTATGAGTCGAAGATGTAACACTGATGTGCAAGTAGTGGTTATCAAAAGACTTATGAACAAATATGTTATATCTTTATATGCATATCAAAAGGCATAAAACAAAAAGCAAATGATAAGTAAAAACACAATATTTTCATCGACAACTCATTGATCGCTAATAGTTGTTTTATAACTCATTTGCAAAAACGTACTATTTTTCGATATTAGATTTTTTTAATGTTAAAGTTAACAGTTCGATACAAATTAATGTGATAATTATCAATATCGATTTTACCACAATGTTTTTTCAACCTTTATAAGTATCTTTGTTTTTTTTAGTACTTTTTACGACCACATCTATTATTGTTACTCCCTGTGAGTAGGATATTGTGATTTTAGTTATACTAATTCAACCTATTAATCCAATCGAATTATAGGGAGTTATATTTTATATTTTTTCAAATAACCTTGCTTATAAGATCAGTCACTTGGACCGTGAGAGCAAAGTCCGAACAATGTCTTGTAGAAAATTTAATTGAGAGTTATATTATATGTTTTTTCATATAACCTTGCCTATAAGACATGTCACTTGAGTCACAGGGTTTTTCAAATAATTCAAATAGGGCTGGCGTAGGTGTATTCTGACAGGGAGTGTTCTGTTGTTTACCTCGTTTGGTTTGGTATTAAATGTATCTTGTTAGTGTTTACTATCGGTTTGATTTGTCAGGAAGTGTAGTGCCTTGTATGTCAAGTGTTCTGTACGAGTTTCGAACCGTGACCGACGTTTTATTGAACACTGAAGTGTAGCTCGTCCTAGTGTAGAAGGGCGATTGTTCGGTACCGAACTTGGATTTTATGAAGTTGGGTCAGTTAGGCCTATTTGTTTTGTGGTCCTACGATTCCGCTCCCCGGTATTACGTATTCCCTGGTACTCCACGGGATACGATGGACAGTCTCACCTCAGCAGAGGGGCACATGCCCGACTGATTGTTTGTCCACGACTATAAGTAGGTAGACATAAGTGTACTTAGGCCTCCTGGGTTCCCTCGGTGTCTAGTTGACCGTGACGGCGGTGAACTACCGCCTTGGATGGCGTGTGGAATTGTGGTGGTTCTTGGATGTGTTGGAATGAAAGTGGTAACCCTTTTCAGTTCTTCGTTCAATTTTGTCCCTACGTGACTGTGTTTCTTCACACCCTGTGTATCTGTACCCACCATGTATTTCACACCGTGTGTATCTGTACCCACCGTGTATGAACCACCATCATATCTTTTACCGCATCCATGAACTATCTAGGGACGCGTGCCGGATTTAAGTGAGCGTTATTAACCAACACCTCGTCATAATCCATGCTGGATTGACGTGGTTGAGTTCTTGGAGTTGTATTGGGAGCATGTGAGACGGTGAGTTGACTAAGTGGAGCAGCACTCACTATTGTGCGAAGTTGTGAACTACAGTGGAGACTCGTGCGGTTACGAGGAGGTTTGACGCTGGCAGTAATGTACCGAAGATGTCGAACTTGGAGCGTTACAACAACGATAGAGACAGACGACCATACAAGTCGGTGGTGAAATGCTTCAATTGTAATGAGCTGGGTCATTATGCTAATCAGTGCCCACATCGAGACCGACGGTATAATCCCAGCCGACCTTCTACGTCGTCTGACTCTAGACGGTCACATTCGCTTAGAAGGTATGAAGCCCGAAATAGTTATTATTCGCCGAAGAAAGAAGCTCAGTTGAGTGACCAAGTCGAGAAGTTAACCAAGGGCGTGGTAACAGTTAAGGAGCACTTTGATCAAGTGCAATCGAAGAAGGAATGGAAAGCTCGTCGGAAGGCTGAGAAGGAACGGGCGAAGGAAAAAGAGAGATTAAGGATAGAAGAAGAGGAGGCCAGATTGGCTCAGGAAGAGTTACGGCGGGAGGCAAAGAAACAAAAAAAGGAAGAAAAAGCGAAGCATGAGGCGGCCCTGAAAGCCGAAATGAAGAAGGACATTACACTACATTCAGCCATGCTGATGAGCGAGATCAAGGACGATTGGATTCGACAATGGAAGTCGTCGGTCCTACCAACACTTGTAGGAGGCGGGCAAGACGTGAAGGGGAAAAAACAAGTGAAACAAGAGCATGAAGACGAGAACCAGACGAACTATAGCAGTGAAGAAAGTGAGACTAGCGTGACGCAGGAACTGAGCGAGAAGACCAAATGCTTATGTATCATAAAAACAATATTGCAAAAAAAATAAAATAAAAAATTGTCATGTTGGATGGTAAAATCTAAAAAAAAAGTAATCGTAAGATGTTCACGTGAATGACAATCTTATGTGTTATGAAAAAGAAGATTGTCACAAAAGTAGGAGAACGCTCGCATACATGAGGGTGCCCACATATGAAAAAAGTTTGAAATTATTTTTCATAAAATACCTATAACAATAAATAAAATTTTCATCAAAATACCATTCAATTAAGTTTCCAAAAAGTAACTTCATAACCACTCAATATTTTGGCTAATTCTTTAAAAATACTAACTCCTACAAATCTATATATTATAGAACAAACGAATGGTAATCATCATCATCATCATCATCATATAAAGAGGATAGGAAAAAAAAAAAAAAAAAAAATCTTACTTACATGAGTTTATCTCAAGAATCGAACAAGTAAGATGCTCAACGAAATAGCAAAGCTGACTGGGGTGAAAGTTAGGTTTTAACCCAAAATGGATTTTTCCGCATCCTTCTATACCAAGTCACAATCTCACACTCACACACGACCACACTGGTCGTCGATACAACCACAAAGCAATGTACAACCTCACTTTAGGTTGCTACTAAGTTAAAAATTGAATCTTATATGCAAGAGTGAATCTCAAAAATTGAACATGCAACATCCCAAATAGGAGTACAATGCTCAATCAAATGACTAAGCTAATCGGGGTGAAAGTTAAGTCTCAAAATGAATACTTAAACCACTTATACTTGGCCCAGCTGTCGGTCGTAGAAAAAATAAGAGTATAAATGTTTTCATTCGAATGAATTTGAGCGCTCTTGTATTGACCCGAACGCTTTCTAAAACTGTGGTTTGTTAACAGACACAACTTTAAGAAGTACTGGTGGTTTAAACCCACCCTAGCAAAAAACAGAAGAAGGGATTATTTCTATGATGTATATATTTTAAGTTCAGATTAAAAACAAAAACAGTCATGGAGGACAACATCAATCTTGCATGTGGTGCATCATGTTTTTTGGCCTTTTGGGTGAACTTCTCTTTCTCTTGCTTGTCGTCTTTATTTCCATCACTAACATCTATGGGAGATGACTTCATGCCTGCACGTGGAGTGTTGTAGTTTTTGGCAAGTCTGTTACACTCATCGATCTAACTTGTGGAAAGTGTTGAAAATTGTACAAAGATTGGGTGATGCATTCGACACTTTTTTGTAACCACCCATGAACAGGTTCAATATTGCGTACTTGACAATAACTACAACATTACCATTCCTAACCATTCCCAAATGATTAGCTTTGATTGGCCGTTTCATTTTTTTTTCCTTGGGCGTTGCGTGCGCCCGCTGCTCGCATTGACATCAAACGATTGTTACACAATATGACACCAAACAACTGTTACACACTCTGACACGATGGGAGGACTCAACTTGCAAGAATGTGGTTTTTAAAATGATCCTAGTTTGAGCCTTCAATGCCCCTCTTGCTGGGCCTGTCCATTACCTCGTGTATACCAGAATATGAATAAAGTTGGTCGGAGGGGTTCTATAGTTCCCTGCTCCCTCCACCCAGACGAAGGTTTTTTTTTGTGGGATACCCAGGGCCAAGTCCCGTTACTAGGTAGTGTAGCAATGTCTCTTGACCAATGATTGACCATGACGGATACCCAGGACCAAGTCCCACTACGGACGATCATTTACCACCAACGCTTGACCACAACGGACGACCCTAAACCACCAACGCTCGAAACCTACGTACTCGATCAAGCGGTTGGTGGTAGATAAAACTCGATCCCCACAGTCAAGTTCAACAATCCTTGCAGAGTCTTGGGTAGTTTCCCTATACCTGCACTGACCAGACGTCAGAAAACGAGTTACAAGGCTCAGGAAATGGTCAAGGCTACCAATGAGGCTACCAATGAGCCTAACTCAGTTGGTACACCCAACAACTGTTGAAACACAAACCCATGTTCGAATCCACGTGACGGAAGTTGATGAATGAGACAGTATTTCTGAATTACATGGGGCCGATCAGCTCAATGACGATATCTCAAGGCCAAAGGGAAAAAAAAAAGGTCAAGGATAGAAGTTTCGACTATAGAGGCTCGGATACCGGTCTACCGTTTTCACCCGACTAGAACACACGACCAACCTCTAGCTCGATATGGGCCACGTTCAAGACATACTCCCACTAACATTGTTTTTTACTTATTTCTAGGCGCAACTGTCATCACATACGTCCAACTCTATCTGGGAATGCAGTCAGGTACATTTCACATAGAGTTGTCGTGAGGGCATACTCACACTACTAGTGTTTTTCAAAATGTGCATCTGACTCCAATTACAACCAGACCTGGATGCATCTGGTTGCAATGACGATCATAAATAAGGAAAGAATTCCAAGTGCGCGTATGCTATGAGTCGTACCAACTGAGATAATGAGCCTATCTCAGTTGGTACGCCCATGAACTGTTGACCTACAAACCGTTGTTCAAGTCCAATCAGTCCAACGATGGGACATTAGGGTCTCTACCCTCGCCCCAAAAAACAAGGTACCATCTAGAAGGAACAGCAATGGTTCAAGATCCCAACAACCGCAGATCGGTTTTACAAGATCGACAAGATTAAACCACCAGTAGTTGGCTCAACTATTAGCCGCGGCCTTTCTCGTTATCGTATCAGGGCTTGCTGGGGTCGGCTAAGGGAAGGCCCGGGCGATGTTGAATGGGCGGACTACATGCTTCCAAGCATGACACACACGAGAACAAAAGGGAATTCAAATGTGAAAACGAAAGAAAAACTAAAAAAACTGTCAAAACAAAAAGAGGGAGGGAGGAAGGAAGGGATATATATATATATATATATATATATATATATATATATATATATATATACAGAGAGAGAGAGAGGGGCGGCGACCTGTTCTCTTCTCTCTCTCTCTCTCTATATATATATATATATATATTGTCGCAGAACTATTGACTAAGAGCATGAGCACGTGAAGTAGAAGAAGAAATAAGATGAGCAAAGAAAAGAAAAATGAAAGGACAGACAAGTAAAGAGACAGACAAACTAGAATGACACTTTGTTTCACAGTATTATTATTTCTTTCAGTGTTTTAAAAAAAATATTTACACTGAATCAAAGGATAAAAATCAAAAACAAAGACACATTGAAATCATTCAGTTTCTTAGTCTTCTTAACGCCTCCTCCACTGTGCCTTTAACGTACAAGGCTTGCCACGTTGATGAAGTTGAGCGCGAGCTGCCCCCATCCCCGTATGCCATAACAGCCCACTTGCACGCTATGGGAAAGAGGCAGAGTGAAGGAAGAGGTGTCAAACACAAGGGAGAGAGGAGCAGAAAAGAAAAATCGATAGGCAGAGGGAGAAAAAAAATAAAAATAAAGTAAGGGTGACACAAACATCTTCTTTCTTTTACTGCATTTTTTTTTCTTTCACAGGTTTGCAGTTTTTGGTGAAGAGTCTACCACGTCCATTTTTCAGCACACCTGCACTTCCTTCTTCATTTTTTATTCTCATTTTCACCCTTCGGACTTTTTCTTTGAGGATGTTAGGGTGCAGGGTACAAACAAAGTAAAACGACACAAACTTATGTTCTTCTTTTACTGCAGTCTTCACTGTTTTGCAGTTTTAGTGAATGGTTTCCCACCTTTGCACATTCTTGTACACTCTTTTCAGCGCACCTGCACATTTTTGTCAGGGTGCAAGATACGTCTAAGTAAGACCTTCACGACAGATAGAACAACTATCATAAGGATGCGGGCGATGGTAGCAGCCCTCCCGCTGATCTATAGGACGAAAACCATTCAGGTAAGCAACTTCGTCACAGCAGGAACCAGGACGGCTAGCATCGACCATACCTCTTAAGCATGCACGGCAAAGGGCATGCCGGTTGCAGATCATGACCATTGTGGGGCGTTTACCATCACAGTTAAGTGCACATTCGCTATAGCGCCCGTAGGCACAGATGGGACATACTGCATCTGGATGCAGAGGATGTTCACAATCCGGATACAGGTGGCATCCCTGCCGAC